CACAGAGACGCAAGACATCGACGATACAGCACGCCGCCCAGGCTCTCACACCGCGATCCTTGTGCGCCAGGAGATGAGCCGACGCGAGCTCCTGCGAGACCTTTTTCAGCGAGTCCGTATCAATTTCCTCCTGCTCCAGTCGGCGAAGCTCCTGCGCCAGGGTCTGCAAGCGTTGCAGCAGATCGGCGATGGGAATGGCGGACCGACCGACGCGCCAGGACAGAGGCTCATTGAACTTGAGACGGCGCAGGCCCGCAGATGTATCTTCCGGGTCCACGGCCTCCGAGGCGACGGAGGGGCCCTGACGAGTGCGCGCGGGCATCGTGGACAAAGCGCGGGGAAGCCGAGGGAGTTGGAACGAGCTTCAATACACCATGCGCGGTATCGGAGGGGGGTGGAAGTTGAAGAGGGGGGGCCAGTCGACGTAGAGATAGGATAAAGAGACTCGAATGGTAAATGATGTGTGTCGGAAAAGGGGGGAGAGGGAGGAAAGGAAGCTGCACGTGGGAGGAGAAATTGGGGGGGGAAGAAGAAGAGAACCGATAGACGGTGGACTTGGAGGAGAGAGTGACTGGCCGAGCAAAGCAGAGCAGAGCAAAGCAAAGCAAAGCACAGCACAGCAAAGGAAGTCCGACCGGCGAGACCAAAAGAACCACAAGAAAATCACCGCCTTTCCACCGCCTCCACTTTCGGGACGCGTCGCGCGACTCCTTTGCTTTTGTACTGTTTCAGGAACTTTTCTACTATTGCGCCAGTAGTAGTTGTCTACTGACCAGTACGCAGTAGGGGACTTCTGGTCAGAAATGTCTTAACTCTTAATGTCTTGAATGGATGAAGAAACAGGGTGGATTTGTCTTTCACCTCCCTGCCAGTTGGTGATTTGACTTGATTAATCTGCACGCTTCCCAATCGGTCTGGAGGTGAGCATTGACCAATCAAGAGTAGAGACGGCAAGCAACCTGTTGGCACTTTCCGGGTTTCACCACCAAAGGAACACAGTAATAATATGGAACAATTAATATATACCAGTATTTGCAACCATCACTATCATCATCATATTATTTTATATTGTGTATATATTTATATGGAGTACACCTGCAGATGCAAATCCAATCGCTATCTATATATATCCCCCATGTCACATTACTACCTCAATCAATAAACATTAATCATCCCAAGTTCTATATCCCGCTGGAACAACGCCATGATGCTGATGCTGATGATGCGTGAAGAATGCTGTGTGAGTCCCATCCATAAAGAGAAATTCATGAGAGAAGATGTAAGTTTTCAGTTCCTGTTTTCGTCCTCCTTTATTCACTCTTCCACCCCATTTACAACTTGGGACTGAACCGGCTCATAGCCCGAAGCTTCTTGCCGTAGAAGAAGAAGAGGACGGGAATGGGAATCATGGCGACCGTGATGAAACCGAGCAGACTGGAGGCCCAGTCTACTCCCAGCTTGTTATACATTTGCGTGGCAAAGAGAGGGAATGCACCTCCCAGGCTACTCCGCACCAAGGTGTTGGCGGCGATGGCTGAGTTGGCGAACATCAAGTACACGTCAATGATGTAGTTGAGTCCCTGCATGAAAATCACCAGGATTCCCATGCCAATGGGCACACCAGCCACAACCTGAGCGCCCCAGGAGGTACTGGGATGCGAGGTCCAGCCGAACCAGAACAGACCAGCGGGCAGCAGCACCGACGCGATCATCATCGGAATGAGACGCTCCTCGGGCACCACACGGCCGTGTTTGGCCAGCTTCCGAGCGAATCGCGTCTTCGTCTGCCAGATAATCAACGCCGCTCCACAGAGCACTCCCACCAAGATGCCAATGAAGGGCAGCCCTGCGATACCCTCGTTCGTCCACCCGCGCACGGACTCAAACGACACGGGGTAGGCTTCGAAGAACAGATATAGGATGCCGTATACCAATGCCAAATACAGAGTGATCAGAAGCAGAATGGGCTCGAGGAACAGCATCATCACCGGCCGCAGGAGGTACTTGGTCACGATGTCGTTCATCGTGGGGCGAGCATTGTCCAAGAGGGAGTGCAGAGCCTCGTTCCCGGTCTCCCGACGAAGACGAGCGGCACGTTTCTGAAGGATTCTCGGCGCATACGTTTCGGGGACAATAAGGAAGGCCAGCAGGCCAAAGGATCCCGAAGCAATCAAGGTAATCCAGGCCGTCCAGCGCCAGCCAAGGTACGAGTCAGTGAGGTACCCTCCGACAATAGGACCTGCATAAGACATGTTAGCAAATGACCTCTACAGTATGTTATTCGGGGCGCAATGGGAGCTTGCTTACCAAGAACGGGTCCAATGAAGGTAGCACTGGCAAATGCTGAAATAGCAACCGCACGATCAACGGGATCCCAAAAGTCGGCCATCGCACCACCCACTACTGCCAGGGGCGAGCAGCCAAAGATACCAATTAAGAATCGGCAGACCAAGATGGTCTCCACGTTCTGTGCCACTGCAACGGGAATCTGGAAGATGGCGAAGATGGCGTAGCCAGAGAACAAGGGAATCCTACGTCCATACAGCTCCGACAGAGGAGACCAAAACAACGGTCCAACTGCGAATCCGAAAACCACCAAACTGGTTGCCAAAATCATAACCTCAGTCGAGACACCGAATTCCTTGGCAGTCACAATGGTTGCAGTCGAGAAGACGCTACTGGCGAACGTGATCCACGTAGTCATGAATGACAGCGACATGGTGATCAACCACTTGCGCCAACGGGGCATGTTCTGGGGATTTTCGGGGTCATCTGGACCGTCCCATTCCACCAAGTTGGGATCCTTTTCCTTCTCCGCTGTCTTTTCCAGTTCTGGTTGAGGTGCGCCGGCCTCGATATCATATCCATCTTGCTCCAACTCCTTGTCGATGACGTCTTCGCGGCCTTTTTCTGGGTCGCCGGATGTACTGGCGGATTCCGATTTAAGAGTCGAGTCGGAGGAACGCAGATGCGCTTCGTGTGTTGTGTCGAGATGCGAAGGTGCAAGGTTCGATTCCGGTGCTGCAGCACCGGAAGTATGCTGTATGTCACTCATAATATATGTCTGCGCTCACCCAAATGCGCCAACGAGAGCTGATGATCTTGATGCTATGGGAGGGGTTGCGAAGAATGAGAGACCAGTTCTCAATGTGGAGGAAACCGCCCTGGACGGATACAGATATAGTATACAATACTGTCTCCACAGACCAATCGAAATGTCTAGAGGGACTGGGGAATAGGATACGCAAAACACCTGCCGGGAGACTAGGGCCATGGTGGACATTATAAAGACATCCAAACCTCTTCACTGAGTGGGCCTCCTCAAGCCAAGACATGAAGAAATGATTAATCAAGACCGGTCTTAATCATGGAAAAGCCGACGGGGTTAAGCCAGGCGGGATATCTCCAGCGAGGGACCCCACTCCTAGGACCGGTCCATATTGACCATAACATCCCAAGGTCCCAGGATCAGGTTACCCACCTTCCTACAGATCCCCGACTGACCTCAAATGTGATCCTGTGCTTAAATTAGGGCAATGCCATCATGCCCGGGCTTGATTATGAGCCGTTATATCCGAAGGATGACCAGGGTCCCCGGTGTTTACAGGATTCTCATTGGGAACGTACTGATCTGTAGGCCAGACATAACGCAAGCGTCATGAATAATGCGTTTCCCCGGCTGCACAACAAGCCCCTCAGGCAGCACTAACAAATTGGGGGCGGCCATGGGATGCAAAATCTTCGCTCTATGCGGCCAAGTGGGCACCAGCTCGCGCCTCGGTGGCTCCGAATCTCCGAAATGATTCATGAAAAAGGTTAGATATCAGCACTGGATCCAGTGCCCACTTCTACCCGATGTCTTGGCATGCCTATCTCGACATTTCTCGACACTTCATCCTCAGGACGTGCGCAGACTGACCGTTGATGAGATCAGTCAGTTTCATGTGTTTGTGCCAGACTGTGGTAGATATGTCAGCAATAGCAGCACGTGGTAGTTACAGCAATCGGTCTGCCATATCACGCAATCCACTGTTGGACTTATCTACGCGTCTGCAACTTGTGCAGTGATTCGTCATCTGCTTAACTTCAGCCTGTCCACGGGCCATACGCTGGGATACGAACCAGGAACGGCGGCACATTTTCTGAGACCGAAAGCCGAAACCATACCTAATACGGTTAGAAATCCAGGTGCTAACCCTCAGCGACTTGAAACCTCATCACCAGAACTAATCTACTTGAAGATAAACAGGCTGACTTTGTGCTTGTGTGGCTTGAATAGTGTTGTAGTGGGACCGTGGGAAGAAAAAGAAAGGGGTTCCATAGGTTATAGCTATGGGCTCCATAATTTTTTTTTCTCTTGCCTTTCTGTTTCCCTTCTTTTCACGTCTAGACCTTCGTCGGATGGAGACCTGACTGGATCCTGCAAGAAAAAGAGAAACGAGACAGAATTATGTGACAGCTCTTTAGGTCAAGTCTCAAACACACACCTCCTACTAACTGCTGCTAGACAGCTAGGTCGTAGACAACTCATGCCGGAGAATAAATACAAGGCAGGTCAGTTTGACAAACGAAACAAAAAGTCTATTCTCAAAGAACTTATCCGCCCGCTACATGATAGCCCGTGACGAGAACCGCATTAGCAGAGCAAACAGCCCCAATGACGACCAAACGAACTACTCCGGTAAGAAGAAGTGCTTGAAGAAAATTCCATTACCCACCAATCAACCAACAAGGCAAGATTTACCTACTACTGTACTACAACACAGGACCATACGGAACTATTCCGATCCACCACACACACAAGAAAACTAGTAAAAAAAAACCCTTGACTACCCATAGAAACAACGAACCGAACCTATCCAAGCTAAGCAATCAATAATGCCAATGTCCGAAACCATGGAACAAAGAGAAGAGCTTGAATGATTGTGGATCAACTTCGCTTTACTCAGACACTTTGCAATATATATATCATGAACAGGAAGGATAAATATAACCAATCAGACACTTTGGCCGAGTGGTTTAAGGCGCAGGCCTGCTACTACATCTCCGTACTAGCTGATTAGCCTGTGGGTTCGCCCGCCTGGGTTCGAGTCCCAGAGGTGTCGCATATCTTTTTCTTTTTTATGCCCTTCTTTCTATACTACTAACTCTAGTTGGTAAGTTAATTACTTACTCTTGTTTTGTTTCTGGGTGCATCATATGAGGGTGAGATGATGGTTCTATCCGACTACTACTTACTTACTATTTTGGTCGATTCTCTCTTCTTCCTCACACTACTATGTACAATATGTATGCATGTGGTAGCATGTATGTAGTAAGTATATCATGAAACCAAACCCCGAACCCTACCTACGTCCCAATCTTCCCATGCAAGCGTGCATGCATGCACTGATACCTAGCCAGCTACTAACAGATAATAAGTACCTTATAAGGCAGTCCCAGATCATGCGAACCGGTTAGTAACTACGTACGTAGCCTAACCTAGCTAGCTAGCTAGCTAGCAGATCTATTTACAGTGTAGTGTCTGTTCACAAAGAACTCAAAATAGCTCAGTAGCTAACTGCTTCGGCAACCTACGATCCGATCGATCTATGATGGTTGCTTGGTTGGGAACCCGTGCATGCAGAACACTTGCTGCATATCCGAGCTGCCCGTGATACTTAAGCGAGAAGGAGAGGGCAGATAAAGAGGCAAGAGATGATGGTGTGATGTGATGTGGTCAGTCAATACATGCTAGGCGGGTGAGTCCGATCGGTTGCAATTGGCGGTGACTATACATAGTACTACGTACGTACTCTACTTTCATGTTTACTTTTCTGCAGTGTGGGACTGATGTTACAGATTGAATGGATATGCAGCTGGTGGTGGTTGGTCTCAAGTTTGGGTTGTTAGGATCGAAAATTGGGTTTCAGTGGTGTCTTGTTGTCATTGGAGCGGTGAGGACTACTGGTAGGTCTACATTGTTGTGTCTGTGCTATGTCGCAGAATCACAACGACGCATGTACTGCCCACGCTGGCCGTCTAGGATCTGGACGGCCGGCAAAATGACATCCATAGTATATCACTCAGGTATATAATAAATGCAAGACAATGCTACAGTATGCGGTGGACAACATACGCCACCCAGCCGGCCAGTATATTTCTCAATGGGTATCCAACCCTCCCGTGCAAGTTCCGGCCAAACGGGAGTTGTCACTTGAAAAACAAACGCCGGGTTGCCTTATCCTCCCACAGGAATCAGATTAATCGCTGCAAAACGCCGGGAAATGCAAGACGCTATTCAAGTATCAAGAGCTTTCATCAACAGAGTCACTGAGGTCGTGGCGTTGTTTCAACGCATCAACGGCCTTTTCCACTTCTTCCTTGGCCACGGTAGCCAGCGTGGCTTTGGCCCCAATTCCGAGCGTTTCAACGTCGCCCGCACGCTCGTACAGCTTCCGAGATATATTGCGATTGATTTCCGTGTACTGTTCTTTCGTGATGGTCTTCGAACGATAGTAAGGCTTAAGCGATGAACCGACCAGCTTCTGTATGTCAGACTTGACTTTGAGGGACAAGCCGGGACGACTGGGCGAGCTGTCGTCGGAACGGATAGCCGCTGATCGAGTGGCAGAGCGAGGTATCCGACGATTCGGGCGGTGAGTGGGGACTTGCGACGAGTGATCGTCTTGGGCACTGCGAGCAGAACCAACCGGCGACACATCTGGCGAAAAAGGTGGAGAGGACGGGTCTGCTGGTGACCCCAGTTGTAGTGGAGACATGGGCCTGCTTCGGAGGGTTGGAGGCGGTGTGACGGAAGACAGACGCGGGGAAGAGTGGTTAGAGGGGGCAGGTGAAATGGAAGGCGACGAGGGGCCTGGGGTCGTATGATCGGTAGGTGCAATGGATGATTGACCGGAAGCGCCATGGGAAGTGACCCCATTCGGGTTGGACGATTCTTCAACCTCCTTTAGAAGGGATTGAAGGAAACTCGGTTCGCTCGAACTCTCGGCATTGATCCGAGCAGAGGCCTGTGCACTAGCAGCTCTCGATGATTCACCATTCTGTACCGCCCGAGCTGCCAGGTCTTCGGCCCTTCGAGTTCGGGGCCGCTTCAGCTTGCGTTCAGGTTCGGTAGGTTCAGGAGACGGCGACAACGTCGGTTCCTTACGTTTCCGGGCCGCGCTTGGATCATTCTCAATCTCACGGGCACGCTCGAAAGCATTCCAGGCCCTCATCTCTTCAAGAGACTCGGGCTCTGGGGTGGGCTCACGAGGAACGCGGGGCCGCGACGGGCGAGGCGCCTCGATATCCAGTAGAGCGGCAGTGTCTCGGAACCGATTGCCACCGCCCTGCTGCTCGGCAACTTCAAAGCGACGTTGCCAGGCTCGAAAATCACGTTGATGGGCTTCTTCCCTGCGCTGCTCTTGTCTAGCGCGCTCGGCAGCCATATCATCATCAAATGGAAAGTCCAAGTCAATATTCAGATGATCCCAGACAGATTGCCACACGCGAGCCCAGTGCAGCGAGTTGAGCTGGTTCCTGCTCTGCAGTCTGCGTCGCTGTGCTCTTGTGCGACGACCACGCCTGTCCTGTGTCTGGGAAGACCACTCGGCAGTCTCAGGAGACCGCCCGAGGCGACGTTGCGTCACACACCGTGCGCAGTACCAGGGACCCGTCGGGACAGAATCGAGGCCAACACAATATGTGTGAGAGGGGACATCGCAGCCATCACATAGGAGAAGCAGTTCTTCATTGTCTGCATCCCCACAGATTGGACAAGGTTGAAAATCGGCAAAATCATCATCTATATATTCAATGATCATCGACGGGTCGACTTCTGCTTGCTGGACTCGATCCTGCACGGCATAGGAGGATGTGACGGGACCTAAAGGGAAGTCAAAGATCAGTTAACTGAGATACACGCAACGAACAGGAAGGATATAGAGACCATCCATGACAATTGTAGGTAGGCCAATAGAAAGAAAAGGGACTTATCAAGTACTTACCACCAGGGCGGTCACTTAGTTCGACCATATTGAAACTCCGACGACATATCGGACAGCTGTTGGCTCGCTCGACCCAGGGCTTCAGGCAGTTATTGTGCAGGATATGCCCACAAGGGAGGAGCTGAGCGATCTGACCCGAGTCCTCTGTGCCATCTACGCCATCATGGTTGTTGAGAGAGGTATCCGCCGACTTGCCCTCTGCCCCGAGGTCAAGTCTTGGCGCGGCCTCGGCGGCGACGGCAAGAGGATCGCTGGCGCTTTCGCCAAGGTCTCCTAAGCACACAATACAGGTGTCGGACATTAACAGAAGGTGATGTGCCACAATTGTCTGCAGAGACGCTGAGAGAAGGCATGAAGAGCAACCGGCAGAAGGGACAGGAAGGCAGAGGGAGTGGGAAGGAGAAGGGAGAGAGAGCAGGTCGAGTGATGTGGGGAGAAAGCAACCGGCCTTTTGAAGGTGGACCTGAAATCCAGCCTAACGCAATGCAGTCTGGCCTCCAACGTGACCGGGCTTGGTCCAGCCAATAATATTCATTGAATATCGTCGCCTGGCCTTAGTCACCCGCGCGCTCTCTTTTTGAATGATGAATGAGAAAAATGCCTTGCCCTTGCAGCACCAGCTGAGTACCTTTGCATCTCTAGTCTCAGCAAGCCTCTTTCTTCCTAGTTAGTGGGTTCCCTCCCTCTGCTTTAGTAGTTGACTGTCTTTCTTTCTCTTCCCTGAAAAAGCTAGTAGAAAAGTCCACGGGTCGGTGTGACCCTGATCTTCCCCCCCTCCATGAGGATTAAGTAGTTAGTGTATAGTAGTGCGAACTCCCGAATGACCTTTTCTTATCTGCCTAAAAAATGACGAATAATTAGTTAACTTGATATATTTAGCTGACACAACGGTCCGTCCCTAGTGGTAGTTCGAGAAAACGAAAATAACCAAAGAAAAGGAACAGATACGTAGTGAACACATTTCTTTAAGGTTTGCGACCGTCTTGAGCAACCTGTCCGAACAAGCTACGGATAGAACTCTATATGAGTGATCAAGCAAAAGGAAGACCACATTTGGCACATATGGATAGTATGCATGCATGTCGATAAATGCACGAGGGGGGCGTTTTCCTTTACATCCTTGCGGAAATGCGGTGGTTGGCGGTGTCTCCCTACACACTCAACTCAAGAATTATCGAGTGGACATCCATCAACCTGAACCCAACATCCCCTGTTGAAATACTCACAAGCTACCACAAACGAGTCCATCAGATGGCATGGCACAATCACAAGTTGCTCCGTTATTTCCAAGTGCAGAACAAGAGTGGTAGTACGAAAAGGTTCATCCGATAAATCCGGTAAATCGACTAATTGGTTCGATGGAACTGGGTGAAAGGTCTGGAATCACCGATGGTATTTAAATCTATTGGTGAAGAAAACTCCTTGTGCAAACGACAGCAGTTGGCGTTACCAACATCGAACTAGCGGGCTTCGTGGAAAGAGACATTCGCTCATTGAAATTCTCCAGATCTCATTTTCTCATTTTTTGATTTAAACGTAATAGAAAAAAGTAATCCCATTATCACATTTAAACCTCCGCGATTTCTCTGAGACGACGGATGGTGGAGCGGGTAGCGGCGGCGGCGGGGGTACTGTAACACAATCCGAGCGATTAGCATCCATGTCATGCCCGCTTCTCAAGGGCCCAGTCCAAGTAGATGAAGATTGCACTGGACCCAAGACGCAGCTTATCCAAAGCAGCAGCGGCAACAGCAGAGTTGGTACTTACGAGACAGTGTAGGCACCACCGGCGACGGTCTTGTTGCAACCCTTGCACTCCCAGATACCAACAGCCTTGCGCTTGACGGTGTTCTTTCCGCAGAAGGTGCAGATGTAACGGGCGTGCTGGGACACTTCCATCTTCTTCACCTGCTTACGCAGGGAGGCACCGTATCTGTTATCAAACCATCGTCAATATCGATTCTTCTGTATCGCAAAAGTCGAGGTTGAATCTGTCGTCTTCGATTTCCGGAAAATAAAAACTCGATCGACTTCATCCCGATTTCAAGACTTCGTGGTGGAAAAGCGTGGCTGCATACCTGGTACCATATTTACCCGTGATACCGACCTCTGCAATAAATGTTAGTCTCGCGAATCGTCGTTCATAAATTCAAAACCTCATCAGTCGTTCTGTAGAGGTTCAAAAGGGGCACATACTCTTGGTGCGCTTCGTCATCTTGTCTCTGTGCGGCTGTTGAGGTCGAAGATGATAACAGTGCGGTAAGTCGAAATCGAGACTGAGGCTTTCTACTCGGGCGGGAATGGTTGTGGGCGGGCTCGCTTAGGGCTGGAACTTCGGTCACGTGCACCCCTTCAAATGCAGATGCTCCCTATGATGTATTCACTTGGCTACTCTAGTAGTAGCATACTTTATCATAATGTGGAAAATTATACGAGTGAATCTATAGAGAGATTCGTAACTTCTTTTAATCCATCTACTTTTCTGCTCATAGCCATGTTCGTCATTTTGCGCCGTACTGTGCGCATCTATCTCGAACCAACAGCCCCCCACGCACGTGTGTACACAAACGGATGGTTATGTAATGCGACACAGCATAACACAACTAATTAATTAGTTTACTAACCACTTTGTAACTAGTCGGCAATAGTTACCTCATGGTAAGCAACAAGGATCTGTATAGCTTCTTTAGAACCCTTGCTTGATTTTGATTACTGAACAGAACCGAGTAAAACCCTTTCATATGCTAGAGACGGCTACAATGAACTACACAATGTCCCCTCATCCCATTACTGCATTAAGCATAACCACATGCCTCGGTCCTCTCATCGGAGGTTTCTTCACATCGGGTTAGCCCAGGACCGCTGTTCAGCAACGCCGTCATGACTGGGTGGCATTCAGGAATCCCCCCTAGATTCATCCGTGGCGGTCAAATAATTTGCATAGTGCTTGTATCCTCTCTGTATCTGCTATTCAGTGTCTGCTTCGTATACCACAAATCAATATAGCCGACAATCCCTCGCAATCAAATGGAATCCAACAAGCAATATGATCTGATCGTCCTGGGGCCCACGGGCTATACAGGACGCTTCTGTGCTGACCACATCGTCAAGAACTTTCCCACCAACCTGAAGTGGGCTCTGGCTGGTCGTTCTCTCAGCAAATTGGAGAATATCGCCAAAGAGCTGAAGAATGTGAACCCGGATCGTGCCGAGCCAGGTACTTGATACTACATTTATGTTGGCTGAACACACCGTTGACTTGCTTGTAGACCTCCTCGCCGTGCAACTCAACCGTGAAGAGCTGCACCCGTTGGTCCAAAAGACGCGAGTTATCATTAACTGCGTGGGTCCCTACTGTTTATACTCTACGCCCGTGATTGAAGCTTGCGCCAGCAACGGAACTCACTACGTCGATGCGTCAGTCTGCCTCTGCATAACCAGTCCACCAATGCATAGCTAACTGAAGCAGTACCGGAGAGACACACTGGGTCAAGGAGATCATCGACGAATACCATGAAACTGCCAAAGCGAACGGTGCTGTTGTATGTACCTTACTCTCACGACTCCGCAATACGACAACAACCTAACTATCAATCAGATCATCCCTTGCGTTGGCATCGAAAGCGCACCTGCAGACTTGCTCGCCTGGGCTACAGTGAAGCGAGTCCGCGAAGATCTGTCCTGCCACACCAGATCAATCACCGGTGACATCCACGAGATCAAGTGAGAGACACCACCTACCCCAATAGGCCATCCAATACCTAACACCAACCCTCGCAGATCCTCCGGAGCAAGCGGCGGCACTCTCTCCACCGTTCTCACTTTCTTTGAAAATGTACCACCTTCCGAAATGCGCAAAATCTCCACCCCCTTTGCGCTGGCCGCATCGGCCCCTCCGAAAGATATCCCCCGTGAGCCGCTATGGGCGAGACTACTCGGTATCCGATCCGTCCGCGACATGGGTATCTTGACCACCTCTCCATCAGGCCTAGCAGACACCACCACTGTCCACCGCAGCAGTACCCTGATGCCAGAGTTCTACGGACCCCGGTTCTACTTCAGACAATTCCTTCGCGCCAGGAACGCCTTCACCGGAATCCTCTGGCACTATACGTTCCTGTTCGCTATTACGGCTCTACTCCTGCCTCCAGTTCGCACCCTCGTCCGGAAGTACATCTACACTCCGGGCACTGGTCCTACCCTCGAGGATTCCGTCAACGACTTCGTCGAGTACCGCGCCGTCGCGACTGCGGACCAGGATACCCCCACGCCTCAGCGCGTGCTGGGCAAGTTGAGATACCAGGGTACTATGTACGAGTTCACTGGGCTGAGTCTGGCTGAGGCAGCCATGACGATCCTGGAGAATGAGGAGAAGGTTAAGAAGGTGTCTCGTTGTGGTATCGTCACTACTGCTACTTTGGGTCGGGAGTTTATTGATCGCTGGGATAAGGTCGGGTGTCATATTGAGACTCAGATCGTTGATAATTGATTTGCTTGTGGCCTTGGCCGATTGACGAACTCTCAACAAGGTTTTGTTATATAGCTACTTATGACTTGATTTGGTTGTTTATAGATATTTACTTGGTTGTTAATAATATTACACTTGCCAGTGAACTGCCCCACGGCTCGTTCGAACAGCTCTCATACTATGCCGACCTCCATGTTATTTATATAAATGACTTGATCCTAGTACTGGTAACCCATTTTCAATAACCTGTTGTAAATCCCAAACAATCCTCAATATAAGCCCGCCCAGCGGATAATCCCAAAAGAGACCCAAGAATACAACGATCAAGCAACATATGCGTACAGAAAAGTACACTCGAGAACTACCCATACATACCATCCCCATTAGAATCAAAGCTCACAACCTCGACATCCTCAGACTCTTGAACACCACCTCCTTCAACCACCACGCAATAATCTCATTCACCTCCTCCGGCTCCTGCCACAGCGCCCAATGACCCGTGTTCACCTGTTTATACGTCAAATGCGGGACAGTCCGTGTCATTCCTTTTCCTAGATGAGGCGGCAGCGCAGAGTCCTTCAGCGCTTGGATGAATAGTAATGGGGCCGTGATGCGTGCGTTCAGGATGGCGAGCTCTTCTTCGTAGTTTATCTCTCGTGTGCGGTACCAGTTTACTGTGGGTTTGTTAGTGATTTTCTTAACACTAGGGATTGAGCGGTAATGGGAATAGGGATGGTTGGAACATACACGGCCCTCTCAGCCCATTCCGCGAGAATTCATTCGCATAGTATTCCAGTTCCTGGATTTCATCCACATTAGCATCTCCATCCCACTCCCTTCTTTCATAAGAAGAAAGTAGAAATAAACTCACCACCTCACTCAGCAAAGGCGACGGTCTAACAAGTTCCATCCGATCCAACAAAACCCCATACTCGGCATCAAACGCCACATCCCTATCATCCGTGCGACCGCCATACAGCGCCGACAAGAACTTTTCGATATCTTCCTTGCTGAAGATGACGTCTTCGAGATTTCCGCTCCGGAACTGCAGCTGGTAGGCGAAATGCGGCGCAATGTTCTCTACCATGTCTTCTAGTGCGAGGTATTTCCGGGTTGGCGCTGCGTATGGCACGCAGACTGTGAAGATGTGCGTTACGAGCTCCGGGTGCCAGAGCGCGACGCGGTAGGCGAGGGCGGCGCCCCTGTTGAGTTTGGGGTTTAGTTTATTTGATTGCTTGCTGTTATAGTGTGGAATAGATTGTTTGGATATCAAGGTGGAGGTGGGTGCTTACCAGTCATGTCCGCCGAGGATGATCTCGGGTGCGTCTAGTTGGATTGCGAGTTCTTTGATGTCGTTGGCGCAGCTTTTGTGCGAATATAGTTCTATTTCTTCGGGTGCGTCCTATTCTTTTTCGTTAGAATTAAACTATTCTTGTTTTTGAGGGTGATGATGGCACGTACTGTTCGGCCGTATCCTAGACAATCTGGCGCGACGACTCGCAGACCCATGGAAATCAACATGGGGATTTGGTAGCGCCATCCCATGGATAGGTCGGGGAAGCCATGGAGCTGTACAAAACAGATGATAGTTAGATCGTCTTGCTCGAATTGAATGACGTTTGTGATAGATATCACCAGTCACTCTTGATTGGGATGGCATCACGCACGAGGAAGATTGTTGCCCGATAAACCCCCGATTCGGGCTCGCTGTAGAGGTAGCCTGCAATATATATCAGCGATCATGTGTTACAGCTTGTAGAGTATTTAGATCGTAGATGAGTATAAGGGACAGCTGTGCTGCATGATTATAATAATGATGCATGATTTGAGGATTTATCAAGCCTGCAGGCAATCCGTCCTTTTGAATTGCATCAGATGTGCTGCATCTCCTACATACCGTATGTCTTGCCATTGACGTTTGCCGAGCGGCGCTCGACCCTCGGGTCGCCGGTTACATCGATCTTGTCCACGGTCATGACGGAACAACTGTTGGATAGAAGCTGCAATGTTCAAGTACTGACAAGGATGTCTACTGCAGCAAGAGATTAAGATGGAATGAAAGAAATGTTCAGGCAAGTTGCATGCTGCTATACCGACATTCCCAGGATCTATAAATGGTACCCTATGGAGACCCCCGCCAGCTGTCCCGTCACGTGCAACTGGGGCTATTGATCGATTAATATAAGACTAACTACAGGAAATGAGGCGACAGAGTCCATTGGGCACGAGTAATATGGCATTTCCGGCACACATAAACCTGTTTTCCTGGCAGTAGTTTCGCCCTGGTTGATTGGTGACCGCCGAATTGTTTGTGTTCAGCCAGCCGAAGGGGGAACTCGCCGGGCTTCCCGCCGAAATGCCTCGGTTCTTACTCGATGTAGACACTAAGAATGTACATAAGGAGGAGAAGCATAGACTTGCCTTCAACCTCCGGTCGACATTGCAATTCGCTACTTAATGTGATAGAATATGGTGGAATTAAATAAAAAAGAGAATGAGAAAGGGTGTCACCGCTTCTGCTGCTAATAGATTACCGTATCTTCTTGGTCCTCCTCCACTTCACCGCCATCATCGTCGTGTCGATGGATATCCGAGCGGTCATGGTCCATACTAGTAGATACATTGCTGTCATTAGCAGGTGAAGTCTCGGCTTTGGCTTCTTCGGAGCCTCCGTCGGCTGTTGTCTCAGCTCCCATAGTCACCGAAGACGCTTGAGCGACACTCTTATTCTCCATGGCGTCTGACTCGGACACCGAGGCTGGTTCCTGGGTCTCTTCATGCTCAGCCTCCTGCATCTTCTCATCCTGCTGCTCGGGGCTCTTCTCCTCGTGGGACGAATAGCGTGCTTCGAACTCCGCCACTTCTCTTGCGACAGTAGCTTCCGCCTCTTTAATTTGGTCCTGTATTACATCCTCATCCTCCGCCCTTAGCTGCCACGGCTTGTAGTACTGCAGAGAGAATAGTCAGAACCACCCAAACTCAAGCACCGACGCCACAAAGCCGTAAGGTTGGGAAACATACTAATACCGGCTCCGTCCTCGTTTTAAGGAAATGAGCCATCGCAATCATATTCGAGTGGCGCGTGCGCATCTGAGACATCCATCCATCAGCGTCTGCACGACGTAAACCGAGCAGCAAACCAAAAACCCAGCAAATCACCATCATGATCATCCTCCGGGAACACGGAATTTCACAACTCACCGATTCCTCCTCGTAGAACCTCTGCTCCTTCTTCCGAATCACCGCCCGTTCCTCCCGCCTCTTCTTCTTCAGCTCTCCATATTCTTCATCCTGCAACTTCAATTTATCCTGTTGTCGTCGCTCAATATCCGCACGTCGCTTTTGGGCCGCCGAGGTCGAGCTCTGCGAAAGCGTCCCCAGCAGAGCACCGAATAGTCGTTGGCCGCGTTTGCGCTCCTCATCTCGTCCTGCGCCACGCCGCGGTTTCCGCTCTGTTACATCCGGTGAGGCCTGTTTGCGATCCGGAATAGACTGGGTGTCATCGTGATGGTCCGTTTGTGAGCTAAGACGACGGCGTTTGTTCTCCGAGTCTGGGTCTTCAATCGACGACTGTCGCCGCTTTAGCCCTGCTTCTGGGGACGGGATTGTAGTAGTATCCTGGTCGGGGAGGGCGACGGCCGACGCGAGAGTTCTGTATTTCCATGCAAATGACCCATGTTAGCTGGGATAATTCTTGTTAAGAAAAGTAGTCAGGATAGGCAGCGAAATAATATATACCCTTCGGTCATATCTGGCAGGGAGGAGAAGCCGTGAGAGGTGAGGAAAGAAGCAAACGATAATCAATCAATCAGATGAAAAGAAGAATGCTTGTAAAATTAGGAAGAATAGACACTTGGTATCGAACAACTCGAATCAAAACATTCCGCGAAAACAACCAGACAGAAGTCACCGGGTATTCATTTGCAGCTTCTCTCAATCAAACCTTCGTTTCGGTATCGCGATATGCCCGGCGCGGCGGGACTCCAACGGCCCGTGCACGGACCACCAGACCGCCCCGAAAGAAGCGTTTCTTCCAGTTCCAGTCCCAGTTCCATCTCCCTCTCTGCCTCTCTCTGCTGTGTGTCCCCGACCCAGACTTCTTCGATTGCCTTCCACTGTGTCGCTGCTGACATATCACATTCTATTATTACGAAGCGTTAACTGCTCCTAATAACTGCAGCTTTCTTCGACAGCGGATCTGAGATTTGTCGTCTCGTTATTTCCTCGTTCTTCACGACTCGTCGCGTCCCTCTCACCATTTTCACAAAAGAGCTACTAATCTCATAATCCCACCATGTCTCGCCACCACCCCGATCTCGTCATGTGCCGCAAGCAGCCCGGTATCTCTATCGGCCGCTTGTGCGATAAGTGTGACGGCAAATGTCCCGTGTGCGACTCCTACGTGCGTCCCACGACCCTGGTCCGCATTTGCGACGAGTGCTCCTTCGGAAACTACCAGAACAAGTGCATCGTGTGTGGTGGAGAGGGAATCAGTGATGCCTTCTATTGCTTTGAGTGTACGCGACTCGAAAAGGATCGAGACGGTTGCCCGAAGATTATAAACTTGGGAAGTTCGAGGACGGATTTATTCTACCAAAAGAAAAGTTTTCGAAATCATTGATGCGGGCTGGGTGTTGTTTTTCCTTGTTCGCCACGCGTTTGGGCTCTTGGGCGAGAACGTCTGCTCTCTGCATCGTATGCTCCTGGCCTTAGGGAGCTCTGCAGACTTATGGGGGTGGCTTGGGCGAATATAAACGGTTGTTGAGTATGAGACAGCTACAGCTACAGAAGAGAGAGGAGATTGGTACCGGCGGTGTTTCGGTCACAGGTGCCCGGGGCTATATACTATCGCGGATCATAGAGCGGGATATACAAGAAATTACGGGGTCATCTACCCACGCGCGGAGATTTACCGACCCGGACGTCTCGGTCTCGCAAATCCCCGACTCGGTCCGTTGTCCTGGGGCGGGTGGACTTCTTCATGCAACCTTTCGCCCGTGATCTCATCGGGCGAGGATGCCTCGATCTGCGTGCTGTGTTAAAGAGACTCTTCAATCAATCGAGCGTTTGCAATCAGCTCTTACCTTCTTTGAAATCTTCAGGCCCTGATCGCCAGCCATAGTGATTGCATGCATCCGGGAGCTGGCGTACAGCATACGCTCCTTGATCGAGGAACCCGAGGGGCAGGTATAGATGAAGATTACCACGTCGGAGTCGGGGTAGTGGTAAAGCGTGTACCGGGGAGAAGACGAAGGGATGTGTGACTGGACGGCGTTCGCCTCCACTCCGGACTCAGTGGCAGCAACCTTGATCGCCTCCGTGGGGACATCAATGGCCTGTATTTAGACAATGTGAAGTTAGAACCCCAAATGAAAGAAATACCCCAAATGCATTGGATCGCAGGATCATGGAGAGAAGACACGTACCAGCTGAACCAGGCCACCCTGCTGTAACCCTTCGAGGGCCTGCTTAACATCGTCATCGACCTTCATCTTGACGGAAGCACCACCGAATGGGTTTGCTCTGTTGAACGTCCCACCAATACCGATATCTCTGCTCGGAGTGCCGCTGCGAGCCTCCTCTTCGGCTCTCCGCACAGCCTCCAACTCCCGCTCCTTCTCGCCCATCAGATCCTCCCGTCGGAAACCGCCCGCGGTACCCTTCTTCTCAGCATCCCGCTCCTTCCATGCCTCCTCACCAATGACCTCATCTTCATCCGTAGCGAAGATGGTGGAAGCGAACTTCTCCGTTCCCAGTTCCCTAGCCAAGGTGGCGCGGGTTGCGGCGAAGAGAGTCTTCGCGCGCACGCCAGCATTAGAAGGAATGTAGGTCAAAGCCACAAGGGAGGATGAACCATTCTCAGGGCGACGAATGAGGAGGTAAAGGGGAGTCTTGGGTTCAAGGACGGATGAGAGCTGGGAAAGAGACGGATAGAAGGCGTTTGGAGAGGCGAAAGGAACCGGGGAAAGGGGCGACAGGCTTTCCGACTTGATTGTTACGGGAAGGCAGAAGATGGATTCATCGGAGACGAAGTTCCTGAAGGCTTCGTGAAGCTCATCAGAGACTATTGTGTATAGTTAGCAAAGAATGCAGGAGTTGAGCGTAACTTGGGTTTGTAAGGTGGCATGTCCGAGGGGATCGGTTGCGGGATGTCGTAATCGTCAGGAACAAGGGGAAGACGAGGGGAACGAGATTTGTAGATATGTACCTGAGATTCCGGACTGCATCGTGAATCAAGGTCCAGCAGTAGCTCCTGGCCGTTTCGGATTATGCAACTTATCGGCCGGTCTACTTCCTGCAGTCGAGGGGTTTATCTGGAAGGTTGTTTCGGGGAGACAGACGGAGGGGAAGGGCAGAAGCGGTGTGTCTTGCTTCTAGCGGGGCTCAGTTTGCTGTAGTTTGCTGCCCCGGGCGATCGGCCCCCTTCTTATCTACGTGGGAAGTTTTGTATCTACTTCTGCTCTATACTACGCCCTCGGAATTCAGTGAACTTCTCTGAATGGTTTATTTGACTCTATCCAAGAACGGAGGTATGCTAACATAGGAAATGAACAAGGAAATCGGATATAATATATACAACCCACTCCGTGTGGATCTCGCCTGGCGGCTCACCAATACCCTCAAACATATAAACAGGAGAATACTGATAACTCAGCGATCGAAAACGCCACCATGCTCATGGTATCAAATGCTTTCGAGAACACACAGTGGCCATCCCTTCAATGGGAGCCACTTACTCTTCATAGTTTCCACCAACGAAAGCCCACCCGGAGGTCTCCAGCTTGCCCTTCAGGAACTCGTACACGGTGAAAGTGACGGCCTGACCAGGTGCCACTCTCATCACACGGGGTGTGATACCCTTGTAGAAGGCGCGAGCACCCTCTTGCTTGAACATGTCCTTCGCGATGACCATGATACGTGATACGGCTGATTGACCGGGCTCAGCGCGGGTCTTCTGCAGTCTCGTCTTGATCGT